AAATAAGGACCGTTCGCCACCCCTGGAGTTGAGTGTTTGAATTTTAGAAAAACTGACAAATCTAAAATTTATCTCAATTTTGTTTGAGTCGCTTCAGAAGAATTATGTAACCCAAAACAGCAACACACCCAAGCTATTCACAAAAGTGTAATCACATCAAGATTGAATTATAGATTACGAAATTAACTTTTGTAACACGATTTTTGACCGAAAAAAGTCAGAAGTAGGATCAGAAGCTAGCATCAGCTCATTCTATAACCACTTCATGTATTTTACGATAATATCTTTTCCACCATCAAATCACTTTATTCTCTCTCCATTTTCACAATTGCACGCATCGTTAAGCTCTCCACTTCTCTAGTCAACGCTCGTCATTTGTGCCTGTTTGCTATGAATGATAAAAATCATTTTCTTTCTCCTTATTTTTATTGTTCGACATTATTTTTTTTCAGTCTATACGTGTTTTTGTCTGTTTTTTGAGTGTTATAGTTAGAAACTGAAAGTCATTTTTCTTTTTTTTTTGTCCTATTGTATTTAATCACTGTATTCGTCCTCGTCATCATCATCTTTCGCACAAGGAAAATATGAGATAAAAAAAAGGAACAATAAAAGAAAAGGAACAGTGAAAGAAAAGAGAATAAAATAATGATGCAAACAATAAGGATGAGGAAAGTGTGGACAAAAGCTTCTTTTATGACGAATGATAATAAAAACTGTTCCGTTTGCTCTATTTTTTCGATATCGAATTTTTTACTGGTTATTCTTGATTTTGATCGATACATTTAGTCTCAATTGAGTCAGGAATTGCTTTAAATTTAAGTTTAGTGTACTTAGAACTTTAAGTATTCAATAAAAGTTTGGAAGGTTTTGAAAGTTACAAATTTTATTGCTTTTATCCGATTAAACAGCTCTTGATATTACAATTGCTTATCTTTAAGCTTATAAGAATGTAAACATCAAAATAAAGTTTAAACAGAAATTTTAAGAAAAATAACTTTAATCAAATTTAAGAAAATTTAAGCACAAGTCGGTTAATCGAATAGGAATTTGGCATTAAACTGGCATGACTCTGGCATGGTGCTGGCTTCGATTTAGATCCAACACCGTGCTAGAGTCATACTGGCTTGGTTCTGGATTTCAGATCGATTATCCGACTTGTGCCTTTCGGGTTTGACTTTAAAATCCAATTACAAGGACTTAATTAGTTCAATTAGTCAACTTTTACTTTATGTCATTTTTCCTTCCATTCTTCCCACTAAACTACCACATCGTAAAAATTTCATAGCCATAAAACTTTTACCATACATAAACCAACAATGTAACTCTTCCTGACATAATATTTATACACTTATCTTACAAAATACCAGACTCTCATGTCGAGAGTCTCAAGTCTCGACACATTTTAGACTGATTGCTTCTGACAAAAATGCGGTTTGATCATCTGTTGAAGGTTAAACTTCTTCCTCCTTTAATACATTTATATCCACTCATTCTACCTCCCATCTCCTCATTTTATTGTCATCAGAGAGATTGACTATAGAATGATATTTGAATGGAGACATTAATCAGATAAATTATGATGAAATATATGCATTATGTTTATACACAATATGATTATGAAGTCAATCAAACAACAAAGCAAAAAGTGAAATCTCAAGACAAGTTCTTTCTTTGGGCATGCTGCTGAGTGAATAAAAAGGAATTGACTTATGATACGAAGAAGAAGGCGAGAAAAAAAACGAAAGAACCGTAAAATTAAATAAATTTAAAGAAAAAAATTATTTTTATATAATTTTGTGGCTGTTTTTGTTGCTGCTCTGCTCATGGCTCTTCTCACTCGGAGTTTTTTCCTCATTTTTGTGAAAGCTTCCGCACTTTTCGAAAAAAGTTTTCCGTTTTATACATCAATATATATTTTTGGCGCGCTTTTCTATGGGCAACTGTTCAGTTATCTGCATCTTGTCTTTCAGTTCCGCCATCTTTGAATTTTTTATAACCGTTTTAATTTTGAAATTTTCATAATTTATTTTTTTCAAAATTTAAATGACAGTTTTTTTAAAATTTCATTTTAAATGTTATTAATTATGCGTTTCTGTTGATTAAACTCATCTTCACTTTTGTACCAACTACTTCTTCGTGCTACAATCAAGCGATATGAGTATGATAAAGTAGAAGATTGTTAGCGTTTGTCGTCATTCATTTATTTCAGCATGAGAACGGTAAAATAACTCTCAAGTCTTGATTTAGGAAAGTTTCTTTTATTTCTAATAAAAAGGTTGTTGGTTTATGAATATTGGGTTGGAGGGTAATTCCATGAGTAATGAGAACTGTGAAAAAGCACTTTACAATATTTCTCTACTTGTAAAAATTCAAATTTTCCAAAACCGTTATAATTTCTCAACGTTTTGTTGTTTATACAAGTGAATAAGCCGCAATATCAGCAAAGAGAGATGGTTCAAATATATATGATCTTTAATGTTTTGAAACTTTAGTTACTTGCTCAATTAAATCAAATAAATCTAATACTTTTAAGTAAAATCAAGAAAATCTAACGGTTTTTGTGAATTTGAAATTTTTTTCAGTGTTCTGTTTTGCAATAATCGGTCAAAAATTGACCGATTAATGCTAGTTTTTTTGGTTTTTCTTCTTAATTACAGCATTAAGGAATGCAAATTATACATAAAACAAAAACCTGGCTAATATCTAATATGTTAAAAGTAACTTTGGAACATAGAAGTGTGTATTTAAGTAAATATTAGGAAATGTTTAGAAAACGATTTTTCGAAAACTTGACCGATTAATTTTACTTTTATTAAAAAAACAAAAATTAGACATATTTCTGATGTGAAATTCTCACATATGGAGATAAATATTGTGTTAATAAACATAATAAAGTTACAATTTAGAGTACAAAGTTCTTAGTTAAGGAAATATTTTTGAAAAATTGGTGCACCAAAATTTTTTTCACTCATGGAATTACCCTGGATAAGAAAGTTCTCTCCAAAACTTTGTCAACAACAACATGAAACGAAGCAGCTTCAAACGAAAATTCCATTGGATTATTCTGTCTGATGTTGTAAATTTAAAAGCTCTGACTTGATAAGTGTTATGAACTTTGGAAAGTTAATTGAGTTGCTCTATAAATTATGCTGGAATTTTTATTAGCAACGTTGTAATTTTAGATATCTGGGGTAAGTCATAAAGGTCATAGTCTTTCGATATTTCTGTTACGGGTGTGAGAGTAGGAGTAGATAAGAGAATTTCGGATTGTTTCTAGGTCAGAAAGCTACAATTTATGGTCTGATATGGAACTTTAATTGTTTTTTGAAGCATTTTGAAGATTTGTAAATGAAAGTTATTTGTTATTTGAATTTTTGTGATGTCATTTGGAAGTTTTACATAACTCAGTAACTTTGAAGCTTTCAATTGAGATTTAATAAGGTATTGATTCAATTTTTTCAAACTTTGAGCTTGTTTACAAACAAATTTTGTATTTAACAAAGCTTTTTGGTCAAATTCTTGATTTTATTTGTCAAAATATTGATCTTATTATCGATTAAAACATTGAATATTACCAATTGATAGTTTTTTGTCTGTGTAAAGTAACCAAAGATAACATTTTCAATCTAATTTGTGATTTACAAAAGTTTTATTCTAAAGTTTTTTTTCTTATTCAACAAAAACAACATTAAAATTCAATATTTGATCAAAATATAGTTCCAAACATGTAATACAACTTTGTTTGCATAACAATTTATTCATATTTGTTGTATTAAAAGTGATTTAAAGCTATTTGTTCCTGTTTATGGGCAATTCTTTGGATGACTTTTGGAAAATTTTCAGACAAAAATCGAAATTTTATTGATTTTTCCCATCAGAGACACTGATTTTTTGATTCTTATCGATGTAAAAATCTAAAATGAACACTACTTTTGATATCATGCACTTCTAATCGCTATATTAATTAAGTTATTTGGATTCTTCAGACAATAACTCGATGACAGAAATCGGAATTTTCAATTTTCATCATCCGAAGAATCGAAAATTAGAGAAAACTATTGATATCCACATTGAATAACTTTTACTGAGTTATAGATCAGGCAAAAATCTTTAATTGAGTTGCTTTTTCATATGCTGTAAATCATTAATTATTGAAATATTTCAATTCTTTGAAAAATTTCCTTGTGTCATCGAGTTATAAAAAAGCTTTTTTTTGTCTTCATCCGTGAAAAAATACAAAATTTTCAAACATATTTTTTCAATTTTTCACTTAATTTGGGTGAGTTGTAACATTTCAATAGATCACTTGTAAAGATTTAATTATGCTTAATGATCTACGAAAATTCAGGCTGATTATTCCTTCGTAGTAATATGAAATTAAAGAAAACATTTTATTGACACAAAACTCATTGACATTGGATTATGAAAGCTCATTTTTTTCAAATTCCACTCATCCAAAGAATTGCCCTTATGTAACAATTTTCCATACATTCATCAAAATTTAAATTCAAATCGTATACATTTCATCATGCCTCATACCATGTTCTCATCCTATTCCCAGGAACTCTAACCTTAGCTTTACAACATTATAAACATTCCCTTCCATCTCATTTTCAATTCATAAATCAAATAAATCTTGAAAATAAATCTCAGTCAAAAATAAAATGATGAATATAAACTTTAATATTTAAATTCTAATGGAAGTAAGCTCCACATTAGCATTCCATTGTAATACTTGTATGGTATGTGTGCTAAGGATGTTCGCCCTATCATTTCAATGAATAAAATATATTACATTTTTATTTTATTTCATCTCCGTTCTACTTTTTTTTCTTCCTTTCATAATCTGATATATATATTTTTATTTCTTGCCCACAAAAAAAGGTCCACAGATGTTTGATAAAGCAAATTATTACATTCTCAATCAATTTCTTTTTCTTCTACATAGAACTCATGATTTACCGAAATGAGATTCGTTTTTTTGAGACCATGGTGTTCTACAAGCACCGGATCAAGAGAGATATTGATTCATCTTATTATGTTCAATATCTTAATGCCTTGGAATGTGAGGAGCGGCAGGGCACTATCGTCAAAATTCGATTTTCGTGATGATCCTTCAGCAATTTCAAAGGTAAGCATTTCATATCATCATATGGAGTTAAGGATGGCTTAGACAATACTTTATGCATGTGAAGTCTGAAGTCGGATATCCTTTTTGGTGGATTTTTTTTTTAAAAATACACTTTTTTTAAAATACACTTTGTCATAAAACCAAAGAAATTAAAATTATTCATTTCAAAACCCCGGATAAATAAAAATCTTTCAAAAATGCGCTCAAACCCTTCAACCAACATATAACACTATCCTTTAATTTATTTTTATTTTCATAGGAATCTATCGAAGCATCTTTGCAAATAGTTCATGATATTTCAACGGAAAATATCGGCACGTTGTGCATTAGTAAACAATATAGTCCTTTGAAAATTCCATTGAACACAGAGCTTTATGATGGAGCACGACAAAAGTCCGATTTAGCTTCTGTGATTCTTCAAGATCTTGGATTCAATAGACACAGTGGTGAGTATTTATGCATTGATTTTTATTCTTTTTATTTCGGATAGTCTGTAACATATTGGGCAGACAAAAATGTATCAGCATGATAATATTGACATTCTAGTTCTTATTGGAAGGAAGCAAAAAATAAATTACGGAATCGCTTCAATAATTAAAGCTTTGAAGCATTAAAATCATCACTGAGCAATATTCTGTAGCACGTGACATAAAAATCATCACTTGAACTGCATAATTGTATAAGTTTGATGAACACTAAGTTGAATAATCCTTCTAAGAAGCAAAAGAGCACGGTTGCCTAGATATTGCATAAGACTTTGAGTTTGTTCTTTATTTAGAGCTTCCAACATAATGTAACGGGTTGAATCATGAAGGAACAACACTCTTGTGGGTAATACGTTGATCCTTGATACTAATTCGGTTAAGAACTTTCCTTCCTGAACATATAAATCCACTAAAATTGCCATTCATCAATATTTTTTTGTGTCCAATAAACTAAGCACATAAACAATAATATCCTTACAAGACACACGCCACTAAGCACTTTAACTGATTGGCAGAACTACTAATCTTGTCAATATATGAGTCATTCCGTAATTAATATTCTGTCTATTAACTCAGTCGTTGGAACATTATTAGTGCATAATTAAACATAATTTCATAAGGAAAAAAAGCATTTGTTAAATGTCGTATAGAATAAAATTAATGAAAGCTATTGGACATGTCACATCATTGGCAAACAGACAAACAACAAACATTGGCATTCACAATTGATCATCTAAAGCGCATTTTTGTCAAAAATACTGGGCCCCGACGAAAAAAAATTATTCGTGAGTAACGCTTTAAAATCTTAAATATATCCGAAACCACAATAGTGACAAATTTCATAGTTATTTTATCTTGTAGGAAACAAAAATTTCTATCTTTTAGAACTTACTTCTTAAAGTTAAGCAGTTATGTCGGAAAATCACTTTAACTAAGCGTCACTCAAGAATAATTTTTGAAAATTTTGCCATAACATTGTCAGTTTTCATTGATATATCTTCAAATGTATTTTTTTAGATCAGAAATTTTATTCTCTTTTGTTTGGTTTGAAAAAAAGTAATAAATTGTCCCCGAAACATACTTAAATGAACAAAAATAAGTTAAAAAAAATTTAACGGTTTTAAATTTTTTGATTTTTTTTTGCCGTGAGATGTTTGTTTACAAACAAAAATTGAAATGAAATTTAAAAAATCATGAAAATATCACTCAATAATGATGTTAAAGCTCTCAAAATAGGCAGAATAGCTAATGTATCATTTACTTTTCGTAATCATATCATAATATTTGGGAATAATGATTGAATAATTAAGATATTTGGGAATTGAATTTTTGATGGGTTGTAAGATAGTGTTGGTGAATTTCAAATTTTATTTTTCCGTTGATCAATAATCCTTAAAAAAATCGTCGAGGCCCTACTTAAAACATGAGCAAAAGTAACGATTTTTTTTGACCAGTCGATTTGGACAGACAGACACACAGACATAGCAACACAACACAACTTTTTCACGGTGAAAACAAATTATTGGTTTTATGTCAGGAAATGATTCCAAAACAGTCATCTGTCGCGCATTATTATTATGAAGCATTTATTGTTTTCTATAAAAACTAAAACAACAGTTGAAATGAATTGGAAACTTTCTTATTGTTCCACTTATTTTAAAAAATGAAGTACTTGAGGACGGAAATTAGAATTGAAGAAGAAAAGGAATGAACAGAAAAATGAATAACATTGTATATTAGATTTGTCATTTCAGTCTTCTCATGTTGTTTTCTTTATACATTTTCTTGTGTGTTTGATGACTGATGAGAGTGGGAAAAAGGAAAATTTCCGTGACATTTCAGTGACTCATGCAGATATCATTTACATTTCACAATATTCCATATAAATAAAGCATACATATCTCTCTCTGTTTTCTCGTACACTCATCTTTTTATTACATTGACATAGTAACTTGATACAAAGAGCTCAAAATACAACAGGGACTGGCAAAGACAAAAGAAAAGTCTCTTATTCAGAAATCTACAATAAAAAGAAGCGACAGGCAAAATCATAAAAATTTTATTCCCGAGAAGCATATGAAGGAGGTTTTATGGGATTGCTTAGGGATTTTTTTACGAGAGGGTGACTTTTGAAGATTTGAAGATTTGAAGAATAACGTATTTCAAAAATTCGAAACCTCACTTTTTCGACTGAATAATTTTTCGAATTTTTTTTTCATCGTATAATTTTCAAATTTTCAAAAACCGTTAACTTAGTTTTGCAGGTAACGTTTCTTAAAAATGAGACTCGATAAAATATATCAAAAATACTAAACTATAGCTTCAACATCCTTTGCTTCATTGCTTTATCGATGTCATAACATGAGTTTTTTTGCTGATGCTTACCAAAAATGTCATCGACTGCATTTGATTGTATCTTCTAGCATTTCAAAGTTGACATTTGACCTTTTACATTACAACTTGCAGTTGCACTAACACACATCAATCCTAATCGATGACACACGTATGAAAGTGGGTGTGTGCCTCGGGTAAACATAAAAAAAATGTCAACATGAAGGGATAAGCCAAAAAAAATCTTTTCATCCTTTAAGAATCACAAATTTAGGTTTCATTTTTACATGGCTCTGAAGCATGAAGCCTTTGTAGGTATTTGCCTTCACAAATATTATATTTTTTTTATTGTGAAATTTATATTTTGTCTTGAGGAATGAACAAATCCTTTGGAATGAGAGTGAACAATCTCATAAATAGAAATTTTCAATCAGTTTTTTTGGGGGGGGGGGGGGGGGGGGCTGAAATTGTAGCTTGTAGCAAATTTTTTCAAAGTCATTGATTCAAACATTTTCTTAATAAAAGAGATATTTGTCTAGCTTCTGGCAAATATAAGAATATAGCTCCAAGATCCTCAGGAAAACAATCAAAATACAGTAAATTCCAAAGTCAGAGGATGAAAATTCATTTTTAGAAAATTAAATTTTCTATTATATCAGTGATAATTTCTTAAAATCACCACAATGACTGACACAATTTCAAACTCACTCAATAAATAAGAAAATGGAATAGAAAATTAGAGTAGATATTGTAACGAGTGACCGATGAAAACGCATTTTAGCATTATAGAATTAAAAATTAAGTATTGTTGAAAAATAACGTAAATAAAACATTTGAAAATTAACGTTGAAAAAATATTTGAAAAAAGAATGGTTTTAAAAGAGTGCCTATTAAAATCAGACTACCGCCATTTCGTTTCGGACTTCTTCGAAATTAATTTCGATTTCTTCGATATTAGAGCCGAAAATTCAAATTCCAAAAAACAGTTATATTATGTAAACAATAAATTATATTAATTAATACCAATTCTGCACAAATCCCAAAGTTCTTCATCAATTATTAATTTTATATTTTTTTTATCCATTCTCAACTTTATTAACAATAAAATTTGAGCAAAATGAGTAAGTGCATGGTAAAATCTGGTTTAACCGTCAAAATTTTTTGAATATTATAACGGTCATAAAAAATTTGAAGTTTTTTGAATATAAATTTAACGGATGTTATATGAAATGGCGGTAGTCTGATTAAAATAACGAATTTTAAAATTTCGAAACTTCATTTTTACGAACTTACATTTTTACGACCATATCATTTTTACGAAAAATTATTTTTTCAACTTTTTTTTATAAATTTCAAATTCTAAAATGTCGTTAATTTCATCACGTGTTCTCTTCAATAATAAATCTGCAAAAAAAAGATTAATAGAACAAATGTTTTTAAATGTATGGAATTAAAACGTATTTTTTTTTCAATATCACATTTTATGGACTACATGTGTATGTTAAAAGGAGCAATAAACGCAATTAAGCTCTTAAATCATTTTTGACTACTGCAATAGCCTTTAATGTTTCAATGGAAAGAATTTGTGTCCATCGAAATGGATATCGACAAATATTTGGCTGGAAAGCCACAAAAGTATAGAATGCCAGGTTTTTAAAAGACAGAGAATTCCATTAAATCAATCCTGAACCGTCGAAAATCCGTGCCACGAGTTGAAAGATTAAAGGCTATTAATCTTAATAAAGGCAAGTAGTCAAAAATGATAGTTAAAAGCTTAATTGTAATTGTAATGAATAAAAAATACGTTTTAATTCCATACATTTAAAAACATTTGTTCTATTAATCTTTTTTTTGCAGATTTATTATTGAAGAGAACACGTGATGAAATTAACGACATTTCAAAATTTAAAATTTATAAAGAAAGTCGAAAAAACAATTTTTCGTAAAATTATGATATGATCGTAAAAATGAAGTGTTCGTAAAAATGAAGTTTCGAAATTTTAAAATTCGTTATTTTAATAGGCACTCGTTTTAAAACTTTGAAAAAATAACGGTAAAAACTTATTTAAAAATTTACCTTCTAAGTTCGTCAGACGGACATAAAAATAATAATTTCAAAATTTTTATCTTGAATTAGGCAAGAAAAAGATCTTTGGGACACAGACAGATGTAGATACATAATACATCTTTAGGGAAATGGCTTGAGAATTATTTTTTTACTGTGTGGGTCGATTGTTTCTTTTAATACCAGGAAGCATTCTTTCTCGTCTTTTGTTCCTTTTTCTTATTAAATCGGACCTTTTGGGATTATAAATTTTTTTTTACCGTACCTAATGACAATTTTCCAGCTAATTTTCTTTTGATGTGCGTACACAATGCACTTTGGTCGTTTTGTTCTAAAACACATTAAAGGTTTCCCCAAAATGGCATCGAAAATGTCGTTAATGATATTAGGGATGAGGGAGGTATTTTTTTATTATCATGCTGTATTATATGCTGGTTGTACTGGACTGTTAACAACACTGAAATATTGATTAAGGCTTTATCAGCATTACATTTTAGACAGAGAAAAGGCTGAGACATGAAAGGAAATTATCGACATGAGATATACAATTTGGAGAATATTTTAC